GCCTTTCGTTTTCCCGACGTGCCCGTTCGTCACTTTGCCGAGCAGCTCACCCGCATGGACTCGGAGCTCTTCAAGCGTCTGATACCGCATCAGTGCCTGGGCCATACGTGGGCGCGGCGGGACAGTGGCGGCTCCGAGACGGTGGTTGCCACCATCAATCAGTTCAATGCGGTGCTCTTTCGCGTTGTCTCCAGCATACTCATCGATCGGCTGAAGCCACAGGTGAGTGTGGAGCATTGAGCAGACGATTGAAAGTCCTTTTAACTCTTTTCTTCATTCCCAGGATCGCGCCTTGAACATCTCACGCTGGATCGATATAGCGCAGGAGCTGCGCATGCTCAAAAACTTTAGCTCCCTGAAGGCCATTATTTCCGGACTCAATTCCAATTCCATATACAGACTGTCCAAAGTCTGGGAGTTTTTGCCCAAAGAGCGCGTAGGTTGAAGCTGAGAAATCTAATTGAATTTTTCGTTAATAAATCTTCGATTTGCAGATGGAAATCTTTACGGAACTCGCACGCATTTGCTCAGAGGACAACAATGCCTGGACTCTGCGTGAGGTGTTGAAGCGCGAGGGCACTGCCAAGAATCCCGATCCGGCTGGCGATCAAACGGATCGTCATCTGCAGAAGCTGATACAAAATCTGGGCACACAGACGTCGCACGGCACGATACCGTATCTGGGCACATTTCTCACAGATCTGACAATGATACACACAGCGAATCCGGACTACCTGACCGAGGACAAGCTGATCAACTTTGATAAGAAGCGCAAGGAGTTCGAGGTGCTGGCGCAGATCAAGCTGCTGCAGGGCGCGGCCAACACCTACAATCTGCAGGAGGATCCGCTCTTCGATCACTGGTTCGGCTCGATGCCCTTGCTGGACGAGCGACAGGCGTTTGCGCTGAGCTGCCAGTTGGAGCCACCGCCGCCGGCGCCGCGCAAATCGGTGGCCAGCACGAATACATCGCTAACGAACACGACGGCCTCGTCCACGGCCTCGATCATGGGCAGCGCCGGGCACGGCCATCGCAAGACTGACTCCATACACTCCAATTCGAGCAGCGGGGCTGGCTCGCAGTTCTACTGCGAGCTGAACAGCAGCACGAGCTCCAGGCACAATTCGCTGGACAGGGATGCGCATCACGCATCGCTGATGTCCGCCTCGAGCAGCACCTCCAATCTATCCATGGACTCGAGCAATTCGGGAGGCCGTCAATCGGCGCACAGCAAGTTGACCCACTCGCAGTCGCTGGGCAACGGACTGAAGAATGCGGCGCTGACCAATGGGACGACCAACGGTGGCTCGCCCCACAATCACATCAATGCACAGCTGGTGCAGCCAGCTGGTGTGAGCACCCAGTCCGCTCCCGATTTCTACATCATTCGCGTGACCTACGAGACGGACAACATTGAGCTGGACGGGATTGTGCTGTACAAGAGCATAATGCTGGGCAACAATGAGAGGACGCCGCAGGTCATTCGGAATGCGATGCTCAAGCTCGGCCTCGAGGATGATCCCGATCGCTATACGCTCGCCCAGGTGCTGCCCGACAAGGAGCTGGTTATGCCAAAGACAGCGAATGTCTACTATGCCGTGAATACCAATTATAATCTTAATTTCATACTGCGACCGCGCAAGGACGAGGCTGGCAACGGGGGCAGCTAGTCCACACTGGTGCCCCTGTCCCAGTTGTGGTGCTTGGGATATGAGGGCGAGGAGTAGAGTATATCAACCGATTACCGCTTGTATATAGTATATAGAAACACGATGCGCACACATGACAAAACTAATTTTGTTGTTTTAGTTAATAGTGTCTTAATTTATTTATTACAGCAATCTCTCAATCTCAATGCAACTGATCGATAACAAAGCTGCTTTTACCTATCGATTAACCCGTCAATTAGCTCGTAGTACAACACTCAACTCTTGTAATCTCCATTCAATATCCGTTTATCATGTACTCTCTATACATATACATACTTTTATGTGAACTCTAAAAACTGGAATAATTGCTGATATTTATAAAACTTATATAGATATATATA